GAACATCTCGCCGGAACCACACAAGGTGCTCAGAGCACTGCTCGGTGGGCCTCTAGGCACGCCAGGACGCTCCGCCGCCGCTCGACTCTTGGCTTTGGCGCGCGCGGGCGCGCCGCTAATCTGCCAGGCCCATGGCATCCTCCAGCGTGCCCATCTGCCCCATGACCGCCGCCGCCGAGCGCAGCAGCGGCAGCGCGAGAGCCGCCGCGCTGCCCTCGCCCAGGCGCAGGCCCATCGACAGCGCGGGCCTCGCGGCGAGGGCCGCCTCGAGCAGCTCGCCGCCCCTCGCCGCGGCGGGCTCCTCGGCGAGCGCGGTGGCAAAAGCCATCGCCGCCCGGCATGCTGGGCTCGGCTACACGCGAGAGCGTGCCCTGGCAAGGGTGGCACTCGGTGCGCGGCTGAGGGGGGGTCCTCCCTCCTCCTCCTCCTCCTCCTCCTCCTCCTGCTCCTCCTCCTCCTCCTCCTCCTCCTCCTCCTCCTCTCCCTCCCCCTCCTCCCTCCTCCCTCCTCCCTCCTCCCTCCTCCTCCTCCTCCTCCTCCTCCTCCTCCTCCTCCTCCTCCTCCTCCTCCGCCCTCCTCCCTCGCCCCAAACCCAGGCGCCAAAGCCTCTGCTGCCGCATCGCACGCAGCACACGGGGGACCCCAGTGGGCCCGCACCCAAGATCACGCTGGCAGGGGCCACTCTGACCTGTAGCCGATGGGTCCATGCGCGTGGCCGCGAGGGCCGCTACGCCGCTGATGAAGCCATCGACGAGCGCCACGACCCCGCGCCGCGCCGCCTCCGTGTACGCGCCGGCCATCGCCGCCAGTTCCAGACCTCCGAGCCGACGCAGGGCCTCGCGAGCACGGGCAGCCTCGGTGCTCTCTGCACCGATGGCCTCGGAGTGGAGGGCGCACGCAGCACGCACGACTTCCACCTTGTGCGCCAGCCCAGCGTCGTCAAGCCCCGTGCCACGGCCGCAGCACTCGGCCGCGTCGGCGCCCAGCAGGGCAGAGAGCACTGCCGCCGCAGCTGTCGTGTTGCCCATGCCCACCTCGCCGATCGCAACCACGCGGACGCGCCTGGAGGATACCTCCCAGGCCACGCAGTCAACGCCGACCTGCCAGGCGCAAGCGAACTGACCCTCGTCCATCGCGGGCCCACGGCGGAAATCGGCGGTGCCCTCCGCCACCTTGGCGTGCCGCACGGAGATCTCCTGGCCCGCGGCGCCCGACACCCGGCCGACGTCGCCAGCGACGCCGACGTCGACCACGGTGAGGTGCGCGCCCACCGACCGAGATATGGTCGCCGTTGCCGAGATGCCGGCCGCGAGCGCGCGGAAGACGGCCTGTGTCGCGCTCGGCGGGAATAGAAGAACAACAAAGACACCATCAACATAAACTATTGGCGCTCCGCGCGGATTTCTCGGATCTGCGATGGACCCCCCTTCCCTGGCGCGCGGAGCGCGCCATGGGGCGGCGCCGGAGGCGCCGCCCCCTTGGGACCCAGCGCGGATCCAAGAAATCCGCGCGGAGCGCCAATAGTTTGTGTGTTGTGGCGCTCTTTCTTCTTCGAGGGAAGGGCGACAGAGCCTGGTCGGCCGCCTTGACCCCGTGGTCCGCCGTGAAGACGAGGACCGTGGCGGGGTCCGCGGACGGGGCGGTGCTCTGCTGAGCGGTCGCCAGCACCAGGGCGAGCTCCTCCAGCAGGCCCAGCGAGCCCACGGGCTTGGCGAGGGAGGCGAGCCTCTCGGCCGCGGACATGCCGGCTCTCCTCGGGGCCGCACGCCCTCGGGCCGAAGCCACAGGGGCCCTGAGCCCAGCGGCGACTGAGAGGGGGGCTGCGCGGCGTTTGCCGTGCCCGTGCGGGCCCAAGCCCAGGAAAGGGCCAGAGGTGGCGCGCACAGGTGCGCTGGAAGGCACGCGGCGCGCAAGGCGGCGAGGGATGGGAGGAGAAAGACGGAGAAGAAAGCGGAGATGAGGCTGAGGAGGAAGCGAAGGAGGGAAGGGAAGGACTGAGGAGGACAGAGGCGGAGGGGCAAGAAGGACGAGGACAGCGTGGCCGTGGAAGCGGGAAGCACGGGTGGAGCCAGCGGCATGACCCGAAGACATCGAGCGTGCCCAGCCTTGCTCCGGCTGCCCGTCCCGCAACGCACCTTCCGCCGCGACGGGAGTCATGTGGGTACCGGAAACCCTGGACCCCAAGTCACCTATCCTGGCGAAAGGCTCACCCATATGCAATTGTGGATGCCGCAGGGCAGGTTGGACGAGGGATGGGAAGCTCCAGTGGGGCCGCGAAGCATGAGAGGGGCGTGCCTCCCTGCGCTCAGCTGTCCTTCTCAAACCCCTCTCTCTCTCTCGCTCTCTCTCTCTCTCTCTCTCTCTCTCTCTCCCCTACGCAGGAGGTGGGCAGGCATGGTGTGGAGGAGGAGGCGCCTGGGGCAATTCTTCACGTCCTCCATCGGGACGTCTTTGCCATCGCAGTAGAACGCACGCAGCAGGGAGACCTCCGGGCGCGGCCATCCGACCGGGCGGGGCGGGAGAGACGAGGCGATGCCACGCGCGGCGCCGCTCGGTTGCGCCACCGCTTCGGAGGGGGAGGAGGGGGGAGCGGAGGAGGAGGAGGAGGAGGAGGAGGAGGAGGAGGAGGAGGAGGAGGGGGAGGACCGGGGGGAATTTGGAAGGGAGCGAGGCGAAGGGCGGGAAGGCAGCAGGGCCATCGGGGGGGGGGGGAAAGGACGGGCGGGAGGAGAGGCACGGGCCACAGCACCTCGTCCAGACGGCGAGGCTGCCGGGCGCGGTCCTGGACGGAGCGCCGCGCGCCACCTCGGCCTGCGGCCGTGGAGGAGAAGCAAGGCGACCTAGAGGATCGGCGATGCCGCACCTGGCGAAGTGGTGCTGGGGCGTCAGTTCAAAGCCTGCTGCCCTTCACTGTGGTTGCACTGGCTACCTCACCAGGCCTCGTGGGTGATTGCGAGAGGTGGTCGAGTGCCTATGGGAGTTGGTCGTGCGGGTACGCTCGGACCTGGGGCAGAAGACCGTCCGTCAAGAGCATGAGGCCCTCCGCCAGCCCAAACTGCAGAGCATTCGAGGGTGTCCTCCTCGAGGATGCACAAGAGTATCCAACAGGCACGAAAAAGCAGCAGGGTACCCTTCCCGAGCCGACCTGGATCCTATAACTCGGTCCGACAGTATTGGCTGTGACCCATCCCAGGGCGGAAGACGTGGAGCAGAGAAGGGGGGGCGAGCTGGACAACGATGGAGAGGGAGGCAGGAGGGGGGAGGTCGAAGGGGACAACGAGGAGGACGAGGAATAACAACGACATCGGGGGAGGAAGCGGAAGGTGTGAGAGAAGGAGGAGGAAAGGAGGAGGAGGAAGGGGGAAGGGAGGAGACGATTGCAGCCAAACGGGGAGGGGGAAACAGGAGGAAGGCGGAGGAACGAGGAGGATGCCATGAGCAACGCGAAGAGGATGCAGGAGGAGCGCGGAGAAGAGACGGAGGAGAAGGACGGATGCCCGAGGACGGCGACGCCCAGGCCGACGCGGACGCGAAAGACGACGACGCCCTGCGACCACGAGGACGCCGAAGCCGAGGCCCCGCGAGGCCGACGCCGGCGACGACGGCGACGATCGCCGGCGGCACTGGCGGCCGCGGCCGCTTGCACCAACGTGCCCGCCCGCCAGGGGGGGGGGCGGAAGGGCGGACGCGGAAGTAGTCGTGCACGAAGCGGTGCAGCTTGCTGAAAAGCGGGAGGAGCAGCACGGCCAGGGCGACCGACCTCGGGAGGGATGAGGCTGGCGGAGGGGCGGAGGGTGCCGAGGAGGAGGCGGGACCCTCATGGCCCTCACAGGGCACACGCACAGGCACTCAAAACCTGCCACGTCCACCGCCAAACCTCCTCGTCCCTCCTGCTCCTCCTCGTCCCTCCTGCGCCTCCCCCTCTTCGCCCAGCTCCTCCACATCCTGCGCCTCCTCCTCCTCCTCCTCCTCCTCCTCCTCCTCCTATTCCTACTCCTCCTCCTATTCCTACTCCTCCTCCTCCTCCGCCTCCTCCTCCTCCTCCTCCTCCTCCTCCTCCTCCTCCTCATCATCATCATCATCATCATCATCATCATCATCATCATTATCATTATCCTCCTCCTCCCCCCTCAACCTCCTCTACCCCCCCTCTTCCGAGAAAGAGGGAGAGGGAGAAGGAGACAGAGGAGGAAGAGGACAGAGAGGGGGAACGAGGAAGGGACGAGGAAGACGGAGAGGGAGGAACGAGGAAGAAGGAGAAGGGGAGATGATGAAGAGAGGGAGGAGCGACCAGGTGCGGGGCAGGAGAAAGGGAGATGACAAGTCAGGGGCGCCGAAATAATAAGAATGATGATGATGATGATGATGATGATGATGATGATGATGATGATGATGATGATGATGATGATGATGATGGTGGTGATGAGGATGGTGATGCTTACGTTTGTGATGGTGAGGATGGTTGTGATGATGATGATGGTGATGATGATGAGCATGCGGCGGATGAGGATGAATATGCTGCTGTAGGTGATGATGATGATTGCGTTGACGATGATGATAAGGGTGATGACGATGCTTATGCTGATGATGATTGTGATGCTGCTTATGAGGATTACGATCATGCTGGTGAAGAAGAAGAGTATGGTGATTGTGACGACGATGACGGAGATAATGACGATTGTGCTGATTATGATGCTGAGTATGATGATGCTGATGGTGATGGTTATGGTGATGAGGGCAACAACGACGACGATGACGACAGGAGGAGGAGGGGAGGAGGAGGAACAGGTTGGCTGGGAGAGCGAAGTGGTCGGCGCACAGACCAGACACGGCGTGGGGATGGAGTGCACTGCATGAGTGTGCAGAGGAGGAGGCGCTGGGGAGGGTGGAGGGTGGAGGAGGAGGACGACGACGAAACAGAGGAGGGAGAGGCGGAGACACAAGGAGGATGGCAGTAGACGTGGCAGGCGCCTCGTCCTGCCCGCGCAGAGCGAGGAGGGGGGGAAGGGTCAGCAGGGTGGTGCTCCGGAGGGCACAAGGGGCCCGTGGGAGGGGGCGAGGGGCACTTGTCGTGTCGGAGCAGGGCTAAGTGCCAACGGCAGCTCGGCGTCGGTCCCCGGACCCCTCCCCGGGGGTCCCAAAGCCCCGGACTTCCGTGCGGCGCCCAGCCAGGGCAACGAGGGGGCCCCTCGAAGGCGAACGACCGTTGTCTCAACTCGCCCCTCCTCTGACATCGGGAATGGGGAGAGGCGGGGGGGCGTGGGCAGCGGGCGGCGAGCAGGCGAGGCGAGGGGGCCGGGCAGAGGTGGGGGGGGGGGGAGGAGGAGAAGGAGGAGGAGGAGGAGGAGGAGGAGGAGGAGGAGGAGGAGTAGGGAGGGAGGAGGAAGGAGGGGATAGGGGGAGGAGGAGGGGGAGGAGGACTGGAGGAGAGGAGTATGAGGAGGAGGAGGAGGAGGAGGAGGGCCACGTGGCGCCGAGGCGCGGTGCGCAGCGGAGAGGGGCGGCAGCGCGAGCCCGCGACCAGTCCACCAGCGCGGTCCAGCTCTCCCTGCTGTAGGGCGTCGCGACCTTCGGCAGCAGCTGCTGCGACGTGATCGGGCCGAAGGCGCGCCACTGGAGCAGCAGGGACGCGGGCCACAGCAGC